AATGATACATTTTAGCTCAGAGGAACTGGAGTGTTTCGAAACCTCGCATTACCTACTACCTAAATAGCTACAGGCAGAATTCTTGCCTCTTTCTGTGGGTATTTGGCAAAGGCTTCACAAACTGTGCATCACTGCTTAGTTGCAGAACTGATATGAGGGCACGGAAAAGTGGCCCCCAATCTTCTAAAAGGTATTACTTTCAATTCTCCAAAATCCTATCGTTTTCTTGATGTATTTCCTTACTCATTAGGACTCTTTACAGAAAGCCTCAGAAGCACTGCCCTGTCACAGCTCTGCTTTTCTGCCTTCTAAGAAGGAAGGAATGAAGGAAGGAAGGAGATGGATAATAATATCAATTGGAGAAAGTTGTACAGAGCATTAGGCACAGTTACTGTTGGAAGAGCAAACAACTCACACCAGTTGAAATCAGATTATTCAGGTACTATTCCCTTGCAAAGTGAGTATGGTTGTAAATCTTACTTCTCCATAAAAATAACAAAGAACATCCTCTCCTATCTGAGAACTGTTCAAAATGAAGAAAAAATGTATTGCGGGGAAGAATAAGTGAAAGATTGATGTCTAGGACTGAATTAATAAAGAAGAGGAACAACATAATATTAATTTCCATAAGAATTCCAAAATTGTTCATTTTTTTCATAACTTGTAGTTTCCTCCTTCTTGGTGGAAGGTGGAAAAGTGGATATCTTGGTGGATCCCAGTTTCATCTTAGGAAAGATGCTATTGCTTAATATGGAGAAAAGATTCCAAAGAACTTTCTATGTTCTATAAAATGGACTTTGAGCTTTCTTCTACTGCATTTTTAGCATATACAGATGATTCCTTCTCAGATCTTACAGTCCTGACTATCATTCAGTGCCTTTCATATCTGCAGTGAGAAATGTCATAGAGCTCTGAAGTGGGCGAAGCTACAAAATACCCAGTTCACCATGACGTCTTTGTATGATGTGACCTGTAGAATTATATTGGCAAGACCTATAAAACCAGAAGTGAACACAAGAGTCTCCAGTTTGTGAAGATGTGTATGATCTCAAGGAAACAAGGGATTATGTCTAACCAACCTGCATCTACAAACTTGGTAGTAACAGAAGATTTGAGAATTTTAATGGAGCTGCATATTTTAACAGCTTTGCCTCTTCAGGTTCAAGAATGCCAGAAAATGTCTTACTGATGCCATCCAGAAGAATATAGATTGTTCCTTCATCTTGAATTCAAGCTTTGTGGCTCAAGAACATGTCCTAGCCAAAAGAAGACCATAGGGCTTTATCTCTGCTTGTGCTGTTACCAATTTAAGCAAACGCACTGAAAAATCAGAGTAGTTGATCTTCTAGAATTTTAGATCTCTCTGTCCTGGCTCCTTATTATCTTTTCAGAGTGACCTTGGAAAATGAGAGCATAGCAAATTCACCATCTTCAAGGCATTATTCTAACTCCAGTTGTTAATAATAGATGTTCAACATTTTGAAAGTAGGAAAAAGGAACAGGAGACTTTCTCCTGGAATGCAACTTGTCAAATTGGAAGCTGATTACTTGCAAAGAAAATTTCTTTTTGGAGGGTCATTCAAGAAATTACCAGGATCCTTTTCTTCTTTCTTGAACTTAAAGAACACCATTGGTACTTACACTCCTGAAATTTGAAGGCAAAAACCTCTTCAGAGCCATTTGGCTTTTCCTTCATTACTTGAGATTTTAGAATATGAGCGTCTAATTGTGATTAGCTACTCTGATGCATTCATACTTACCTTGCCTTGGGTCACGTACTAGTCAGAAGATAACAAGAAGATGCAGATATGAAGACAGCTGGTCAGGTTCTTTAAGAAAGATAAATTAAATTGAATACCAAAGCAGGTTCTTAGTTACATTTCTGGAGTTATTTTTTTCCTTTGACAAGATGCATCTTTCCTGTGTACTGTGAAGTTCTAAAACAGTAACAAGGTAATCTCCAGTGAAGAGGAGTTATACAGGCGGTTGTAACTTTCACCTGGAAATCTCCATAGTACAGCATGAAGACGTTTCTAATCAGTTCAGGAATGATGCTGGTAACTTGCATCAGTTTACCATGAGTTCAGGGTAAACGTCAGGGAAAAGCATCAAAACCATCGTTTTCTGGAACTAGTGTGCATTATACTACCTTCTTCCAAGAATACCACAGGAACTTGTGACCATTACATGTAAAAAATGCAAGAGATTAACAGTGAAATTTTGTCATCTACATGCAACTTCAAGCATGGATGGTGGATATGCTCTCTGTTTTGTGTTTTATTTATTTATTTATGAAATTGACAGCACTATTTCCTCTCTTCCCTTCTTTTTCTCTGATAACCAAGATGACTACAACTATACAACTATTACTTGAGAATCAGCAACCATAATCTCGACTACTTCTTAGTGAACCAGACCTTATTCCCTGAGCAATGAGAATTCCTTCTAATTGTTCATCTATGGCACCTTTTAGGTGAAAAGCCCTTGAGTCTTCCTTTTCCCTAGTTCTGTTGAGACAGGGTGACAAGAATTTTTCTGAAATCTTCCAAATCTGTCACCTTTCTTCTGTTTCTTATTTGTATCAGAGTGATGGCGTGATGGGTACTTATACTGGAGAAAGTTAAAATTAGATTCCCTTAAAATAATTTTATATTCTCTAAATGGGTACCCACTACTCTGTCAACATCCACTACTTTGTCTAAAATATCTCCAAGCATGCAAAAGTCTTCTCTTCATTTGGAGATTCGAAATGGATGGAAAGAGAGAGGAAAATAATCAGTGTTTCAAGGTGATGACTGATTCATTGTCTTTAAACATTTTTTTTTCCTGCCTGGATATTGCTCTGCTGTTTTCTAACTTGTTTTCTAGTTGTCTTATATTCCCTCAGCTGTGGCAGTATTCCTGGAGCCAAATGTGAGTGCACTACCTCAAAATGCTAGCAGTGGAAGCTGGTAAGCAAGTGGGGAAAAAATCACCAGAGGAATCTCTGAAGCTTGGGACAAAGGCAGAAAACACATCAGTACTCCACTAACAGAGCAGCAGGTACTCTCATAGAGAAGATAAATTTACAGGTAAGGAAATAATTTCTGTTTCTATTGTGGTCTCATCCGAATGGCTTGTTACTCTCCATTCAAAATCTCAGGAAAAATAACACACAATAAACATCTGAAGAAGAAAAAGATATCAAATGTGATGAATTTAGACTACCTGATTTTTTAGTGGGGATAATTCAATCTGACCCAATTTCTGGAAATATGTATTAAAATATGAAAAATCTGTTATACCTATTAGAGAATTCAAAACCTCAAACTAGTTTTAAAACAAGGCTGGGTTTTTTTTGCCTTTATTTTTTTTCTCTCCCTTCATTATTAGAATATTAAACCAGGATATTGCTTGTTACAGGTTTTCCTGTCTAATCAAGAACAACAGTAAGCTTTTCTTTAAGTAAGTGAGGTCAGATAAAGCCGAGGACAGATCTCTGTTCCCATCCTTCCTTCTCCATTTACTTTCTCACAGTTAGAAGGGTAGCATGACTCTTTATTACACTTCAGTTTCCTCATCTGTAAAAAGGAAGAGGGTTATTTTTATCTCCCACTAGAGATGACTAGATGGAATAAGTGGCGTAAAAGAGAAGAAAATTACATTTATTTAATTAATTGTCTTGCAGTCTTCTATGCCGCCATGCTGCAATCCTACTATGGAGTTGTGATCACCACAAAAACCTCAAGAGGATATATCCTTGTCTGAATTGCTACAGTTATTATCTGTTACATAAAGTAAAATAAGGTTTATGTTTAAGTCTTCTTTTAATATAAAATGGTTGTCTGTAAATGAAAAAATTTGTGAAGTTGAAACAATTCTACTATAAACTTAATTTCTCCACTGAGTTACAGAAATATTGACAAAGTTTAGGTATGTGTATTGTAGTGACATTACCTTTCGGAAGAGAATGATAACAAAGTACATTTGAAAGACTAATGAATTAGCTTTAACCTTGACATAAGTCATATGTCTTCATCAGATATACACTATGATAACTGTCTCAATGAGTTGTATCAATTAAGTTTATTTTCTAAACTATCAAATTCAAGCAAATCTGAATACAGAACTATATTAATTTAATAGTATTTAAATATGTAGAGATTTTATTAAAGCAACAAGTTATTGAAGGTAGGAGTTTATCTTGTAGTGTATGTTTCTTATCATCTGCAGCATGACATTTAAGTTAAAAAGTCTAAAGAAAAAAAAGGAAAAATTGTCTTTTTGTAAGAATTATTTAAAGAAATTTAGGTGACCTTTTGAGGTGCTATGAGACACTTTTCAGAAGCAATCGTTATCAGCAGATCCAAAAACTACTTCAAATTTCTAGACAAGGAACTAGCTGTCTGAATTGAACATTGTCTTTTGAAATGTGTCATCTGTTATTTTATGGTGTTTCCTGTAACCTACTAACCATAGAAATGCCTGTAAGTAGAGTTCTCCTCAGAATGCAAACAGTTTTCAAACTTTAAACTCTTCTTTTCTTGTCTTTTTTTTTTTTTTTTACTTTAAACATACATGAGAAGAACATATTCAAATCTTTAATTTAGAAGGAATCGTATTCTCACTTCACGACTCTTTTCTGTACCACAGGTCTATCCATGAACTTATTTTCAAAGAACTTTCTATAACTGTTTTATCATAGTTAAAGATTGCTGATATACTTGCAAAAATGAGTGTTATCTATTTATTTTTTCTTTCTATCGCTTTTTGGTGACAAATCAATGAGTTTGAATTTGAGTATGTTTAAACCTTTTCCTTTGGGATTACTGTTATTGCTTGGGGGTGGTTTTGAAACCATGCTCTTTTGCTAAGAGAAGTTGCTGTGATTCTGAAATATGCTTTTTTCCTTTAATTTTGTACTTTTCCTTGTAAGTTAAAGAAAATTCCATCGGTCCCAGTTTTGTTTTCTGTAACTAATTCCATAACAGTGTAGTACTTGACATGTGTTTGTTTCTTAGGCAAACGTGTAAAACTCCTCAAGTCCGAATGGAGAAGTAGAGAAAGGAGGTTTCTGCTGTGCCTGATGACAATTTTTGATTTTTCCACACACACAAAATATTCTGGCTCCACGTTGGAGCAATAGTTGTGATGAATCCTAGTCTTGGTCGGATTCTAAGGAAGGGACAGAACGTTCGTTGAGGAATAAAGAGTCAAACCACTCCAGAAAATGTGTTCCAGCCCTGGTTTATTACTCACAGAGCAGCAGGTGTGTACAAATACAGGTTTACACAGTATTAACAGGAATTGTTGTACCTTATCCTCATGTAGTTGCTTAGTTTGCTGTAGATGCCCAAGAATTGTGACTTATTTGGGCAGAGCTTCAGAAGGGTGCTTGGAGATACTCTGCATTGCGCTCCTAAGCAGCCTCAATGTGTCACTCAGATGCTTCTGGGAGCCTTTAATTGTCTTTCTTCACTCACTCTCCTTTCAAAGGTAGACCCAGTTGATGAACTTCAGTTACTCACTATAGTGGGAAAGCAACAGATGTGCTGGAGAAAAGAATAGGATTTAGAAAGGAAGTACATCTGGATACATTCAGTTAGGTATCACTTTGTAGTTGAAAGCTTAGCATCCCATATTGGATTACTTAAAATTCAGAAAAAAAGTTGGGAAAGGCATATTTCCACTTATTCCTAAGAGATGTTTTATGTTGTCTGTTTAATCTTAAAACCATGTTTAAGAAGAAGAACTCTGCCATTTTTGGGAATGTATGTCATGCTCTAAAGTATTTTTCCTTTACCTGTTTTTTAGTCCTAACTTTAAGATTATTTGGAGCAAGTGGAAAACTCAATTTAAACGGGAAAGGTTTCCAAAGCCTTTTAGTTTTAATTACAATTTTTAACACTGATTGTCTAAGTCTGCACCAAAAATCTCCAGCTGAAATCATTAAGAGCAATGGGAAAACATGAAATACAGAATTATACTTCAAATGACATTGTGTGAAATGAGTTTTCAACATGCTTGTTTCTTTCTAACAGAAGGTCCTAAGAACAGGAATTGTCACAAATTAGTCACAGTGCAATAAAAATATGAAAGAATTCAAAGCTTTAGAGTCTGGTAGTTATCAAAGACATTGGAAACTTTTGAGCGATTTAAGTGTACTGGGAAATGTTCTGTTTAATTAATAAAATGAGCTAGAGATGTTTGCCGAAGGACAGACCTGAGGCTCTAGAATTCTAAATTGCTCCATTAAAGGCTTGGGAACATGTTTAGACTAACACTTTTCCTACTGCAGTGCCTAAAATAAAGTTAAGGGAAAAATTTAAAGCTCTTGAGTCTTGATGTCAAAAGTTAGGTAGGGCCAAAGTCTTATGAGCAGGAATTAAATATTTGAAGACTTGAAAAAAAGTCTATCGATATGTCACCTTCTTCAAAGGTAACTAAGTTATCGTTAAATATCTGTTTTCCAAACTGCTCACAAGTCACTCAGATTTTGCCTTTTGTCATTAGCCCAAGTCAAATACCAGTCTGTGATATTGAAACAAGAGCCTGTTTTCTAACTCTCTGTGATATTGAAACAAGAGCCTGTTTTCTAACTCACAGTTCTCTACTGCAGTTACTTTATCAGACATGCCGTTGAAATACAGTGGAATCACCTTAACATTTGTCAGACTTTTGAAATGGTTTCTTGTGCCTCTAGAAACTTAATTATCTGGCATAAACACCCAAATTCACACTTACCTACTGTTAAGTGCATATGCATAGAGGTGCCCTATTGCAAAATTGTCCTTAACAACTCTTTTTGTCCGGTTTCCCCACTTCTCTAGAGAATCAATTACAGGATTCTCAAACTGTGAGGAAATTGTGAGCCTGTCCTTTGTTAACTTTTGCAAAATACTTTTGAGCATCACTGGGGCAAGGTAGTAGTATTAGATGAGAAGTACCTTCCAAGCTTACAAGTTGAACTATTTCAGGGAATGAACACTTGCTTTCACAAGACACATATGAATGATGCATGGCAAACACATTTGAAGTTACTTCCAGGAAATAGTTCACTTCCATCTGTTCATATGATTCACTTCCAACCTCGACCTCATTTGCAGGGGGCATAAGTGGAAAAAAAGCAGTGGCAGATGTTTGTTTCTGGTTGTATGGGCCCTTCTGTTTCTGCATTGTAATATTCGTATTAGGCTTTCCTTACCAAAACAAAATTATTTATGTCATGGAAAAATATGACTGATATAGCCCTCTTCAAATCCATTCTTTATTAGGAAAGGTTTGCTAAAGAATCACTTTGTTGACCTTGGTTTTGTTTGTTTTTGTTTGGTTGGTTTTTTTTGCGTGTGTGTAGTCTGTTTACGTACAGTATAAGAAAGAATAGAAAACTAAGAAAAACAATGAAAATGTGCTACATACAATTAAGGGCTGTCTTAGTACGAGACCTCTGTCTTATCTTTGTGTCTTGGAGGACGATCCATAGCTAGGCATTTCTTCAAGCCATTTCTTAGGCATCTTTCTTCAATCATTTATTTAAGGGATTGTTGTGGCCTTCCCTGTATTTAGCTTATGTAAACATATTTGTGCGACCTTCTTTATTTTTTAAAGAAATCTCCACACCATTTTTGTTTTCTACAGGCCTTTAATATTTTACAGAAGAATGCTAGGGGTGCCAGGATGGCTTTTCTTTGTCTTGTGAAATTCCACTTAGCTCAGGGTGAGGTACTAATTGCTTTTTTAAAAAAAAAATTATTCCCTTTCTCTGTCTTACATATCTCATGAAAAAAAAAAAGAAAAAATACAACTTGATGATTCTTGATTACGCTTAGACAACATTCAGACCATGACTGCATATCCAATCCTATGCAGTTGATGGAACAGTTCTACTTAAAAAGAAAAACCCCAGTATTAAGCTCTTTCTGTTTCTTGTGTTTATTTATACTCCTCAGCAAAAACATGGAACAGAGGGCTCATCATATTGCTAAATCATCTCTGGAGGGAAGAAACACTGGCTTAAAAATTTGCCCCTTTCTGCATTTGCATTGATACATAGTCCTGACGACATTATAACAGGCTTCCCTCCAGCATTCCTCCACCACTAAATTCTGCTGTTTACTGTGCAAGATGGAAAAGAGATAGAATTGGAGTTGCAAGGGCACCCATAGAATGGCAAGTTGCTAACTTTCAAGTGTTTGACTTTGCAAACTTGAGAGTCTATTTTTGATATGGATTTTGTGTATGGTTTGTGATAAACATTGAAAAAACTTGGAAGAACTGCCAGTCAAAAAATTAATAATGTATAAGTCGTGTTATGAAATGTTGCAGCACACTCTGATTTCAATATATGGTATATTGTTATCTGTTTTCTTCTAACATTATTAAATAATAATTAATTATGTGCCTCTTTTGCATGTATAAACTGTTCTGTAGGTAGCAAATAATTAGTGATATATTTGTTTCTCTGAAGAAACAGAAGATTTGTACTATACCTAATCGTGATCCTGTAATTTTGATACTTAGGTGTATAATGCTTTACTATTTAGAAAATATTCACTCTGCCATTTTTTACATCCTATAGTCTTGATTTTCCTCTTTTTCTCTTCTAAAGTAGAAGGAAGTCTTGAGTAAAAGTATCACTCTGGGTTTTTGTTGGGAATCTATTCTTATGGAATAGATAGTATTATCTGTTGAATTCGTCAGCTGTGTGGATTTCACAAGCAAGGACATTTTTTACCCATTGTCAGCAGCACTGGAATGGAGGCTGTCCAGAAAATCTCTTGAGCTGGTAGCTTTTCTAATGCGCTGCCTTTGAGGTCTTTTCATCTCTGGTGATTCTGGGTTACCCTGGCAAAAATATTCTACCCAAAGAGTGAGTCTGGTTTGGACATTTAGTGAGCAGAAGAAATGTGGAAAACTTCAGTTGCATTTCATTATGTATTGTTTTAAAATAAAACAAGTGAGTTCACATACAATTACAGTCAAGTTACAGCAGTCACTCACTAGTTTAAATTAAAAAATCTGCAACTGCAGAGTAATTATACTTTAATTGCACATTTAGTACAAGAAAGTGAAGAGAGTCTAATGCATTGTGTTTATGATATAACAACCATGTGAAAAAATATATTAGCATAAAGGAAGTAATTATGTCCCAGGAATGAACAAATTAATTCAAATCAACACCTAGGACGCTAAAGGTTTTATGTTCTTTTTTTCATTTATATTGTTAAACAGCAGCAAAGTTAATTTTCCATACATATTAATTATTAACTGAAAAATTTATTAGACTTGATTTGCACCCATTCAGTGTGTTACTGTTCTCTTAGGATTTTAAAGATCAGAAATATACTGCTATCCATCCCCCTTTTCCTATAAAGACCTTTGGCAAAATACCTTGATTCCCAGCCACTCAAACCAAATAGCTTTTACTGTATCCAAAATGAAGCATTTCTGGGAATACTATCACTAGGTATTAGCTAAAATTTCACTGCTTCTTTATGAAATTGCCTTTAGCATCCAAGAGTTCTATTGCGTCCCTAATGTGTATGGATATATAGCTTCCATTAATGTTAATGGCTGGCGTGTTGCAGATAACAACTATCACCTTCTTACATAGAAGCGGGTGTGGACCACTATGCACGTTACTCAGAGTAGCTGTGTGTGACATGGAAAGTAGGACAAAAAAAGAAAAGAAAAAAAAAAAGAGGTCAGGCAGAATAACAAAAATTCTGGCAATGGAGAGCATTTAAAAACTACAATCATGTAATCATAAAAACTGGGAGTATGCAGCTTGACTTCTTGTCCAGTCTGTATAAACAAAAAGACCTTCGTATGTGATTAGCCACTTGTTACAGAGAGGAGATTTGAATTGCTATCTGATTTTTTTTCTATATATTACCTTCTTATTCTATGTGATAGTGCATGTTGCTTTCTTTTATAGGGATATTTTCACCACACAATTGTAGAGCTAGATGAGGGATGAGGCCAATGGCATGAGCTTTAATAAGGCCAAGTGCAGAGTCCTTCACTTGGAGTATAAAAACCCCAAGCATCGCTATAGGCTCGGGGAGGAGTGGCTGGAGAGCTGCCGGGCGGAGAGGGACCTGGGGGTGTTGGTTGACTACCGGCTTGATATGAGCCAGCAGTGTGCCCAGGTGGCCAAAAAGGCCAATGGGATACTGGCGCGTATCAAGAATAGTGTGACCAGCAGGAGCAGGGAAGTGATCCTGCCCCTGTACTCAGCACTGGTGAGACCGCACCTGGAATATTGTGTCCAGTTTTGGGCCCCTCGCTTTAGGAGAGATATTGAGCTCATGGAGCGAGTCCAAAGAAGGGCGACCAAACTGGTCAAGGGGCTGGAAAATAAAACTTATGAGGAGCGGCTGAGGGAGTTGGGGCTGTTTAGCCTGGAAAAGAGGAGGCTGAGGGGAGACCTGATTACGGCCTATAAATACTTGAGAAAGGATGGTGGGGAGGTAGGGGAAGGGCTCTTTACATTAGTGATGGGTGATAGAACAAGAGGAAATGAGCATAAGCTCAGTCAGGGGAGATTCAGGTTGGATGTTAGGAAGTATTTCTTCTCTGAAAGGGTTGTCAGCCACTGGAATAGGCTGCCCGGGGAGGTGGTTGAGTCCCCATCCCTGGATGTGTTTAAGAATAGGGTGGATGAGCTACTTGAGGATATGGTTTAATGGGGATTAGGGATGGTTGGACTCGATGATCTCTAAGGTCTTTTCCAACCTAGAAATCTATGAATCTATGATGAGCAAATAGGCCTGTAGATTATGATTTTACTGAATTTCTTTGTGACTGAAGAGAACACATTTGCACTTCCAAAAAGCCATGTAACTGAGTAGTCATGTATGCGTGAAAATGCTCTTTTTGCTAGCCACAGTGTATCACCTTAGCCCATGCATTGGCAGAGCTGGATGTAACAGAAACAATAAAGCATAGAATGGTTGAGAGTGGAAGAGACCTCTGGAGGTCATCTTGTCCAACACCCCTGCTCAAGTAGAGCCACCTAGAGCAGATTGCCCAGGACCAGATGATTTTGAAATATCTTCAAGGAAGGAGACTCCACAACCTCACTGGGCAATCTGTGCAAGTGCTCAGTCACGCTCACAGTAAAAGAGTGTTTTCTGAGAGGGAATCTCCTGTATTTCAGTTTGTGCCTGTTGCCTCTTGTCCTGTCACTGGGCACCACTTGACAAGAGTCTGGCTCCATCTTCTTTGCACCCTCCCTTCAGGTATTTGTACACATTGATGATATCCCCCCTGAGCCTCCTCTTCTGCAGACTGAACGATCTCAGCTCTCTCAGCCTTTCCTCATATGGAGATGCTCCAGTCCCTTATTTGCCTTTGTGGCACTTTACTGGACTCTCTCCAGTAGTTCTGCATCTGTCTTGTACTGGGGAGCCAAACCAGACACACTACTGCAGGTGTGGCCTCACCAGTACTGAGCAGAGGTGAAGGATCACCTCCCTTGACCTGCTGATTTAAAGCAGCCCAGGATACCATTACCCTTCTTTGCAGTAAGGACATGTTGCTGGGTCGTGGTCAACTTGGTCTCTCAAAAGTCAACTGCCACGCTCTCCTTTTAGCAGCAAAGGTCTGCTCTGTGGATATATAGGCAGAATAGAGAATTCAGCAGAGTTCCAGAGGCTGCCTGTAGAGTTATGCCTCTGAGGAAACTGTCCTCTGATTCTGCTTTGATTTTGGTCTGTTCTGTTGTTTGGAAAAGTAAGAAGCTTTGACCTCACATCTGCATGACCACTTTGTGAGTCTCACGTCTTCTGATCTGTCTTCAGTGCGCTTTGCATTAGCTGATTTACCGTGATTTGTGTATGTGTGTGTGTATATTTATATATATGAAAAATAAAAATCCATCTGCGGATAGAATCAGAAGTTGTGTATTTTACACGATGTAGCTCAGTGGCACCTGGGTCCATGAGTAGAATTCCAGCTTGTTACAATAAAGAAAAAAAAAAAACAACAATAAGAATCTGTGTCAGCCTTTTGAGCTTTGGTGCAACAAATAGAAATATGTTGCCTGACTTTTAAATTAATTCTTCATTATTTTTTCAGGCAATCTTCCACTATAGAAGGGGCCACATGAGGCTGTTTCCAACAGCAAGAACAAAACAAAACAAGAGCAGTGTAATAAATAAACCCATGTATCATAAAAATCACAAAACATAATTTTATTATTGCCTTCTTAAGTGCAGTTCCTAGAAACAACTTGGTGGAGAAGACAAACCAAAGTAATGAAGTCCTTGAACAGTCCTTTTAATATTCTGCTCTACGTTCGTGCTCTGCAGAGCCGACGAGAGCTGTGTGCAAACAGTTTTGCTGAGGGCAAAAGAATGTTTCATCATTAAGGAGCATGACCCTTCTCTCTGTGATTAAAATGGAAAGCATATGCCCCTTGATGCCGTAAAGTGCTATTGTGACCGTTCCAATGGGTTGTTCTTCAAGAGTTGGGATGTTGTCCCCTGACACAATTTTATATTAAAACATTACGTGATCATTAATTGTATCCACTGACACAGCAGAAATATTCCTCAAAGGTATGTTTCTTTGATATACTGGATTTTTTTGTCTTTTAATGTTTAAAATCCAAATCAGGCACAGGGAAAGTCCAATTACTGTGAAATGCTTTGTCTCCTACTCTTTTTCTGTGGTCCTTCTGTTCCACTCTAGTTTCATGTTAGGTTGAAAACCTAAAACCACTCTAAATGAACTCCTTGGTAGTTATTTTATACTTTACCAATAACAGGATATCTCTCTTTCTCGTTTACGTATGCATGATTTTTGTCCTGTTTCCCCACTAAGTGATTATTGCTTGCTAAGATGCATACAGCCCTTAATAGGACATTGCCTTTTCCAACCTAAATGATTCTATGCTTCTATGATTGTGTTTTAAAGTAGCATGCAATGAACAGAAGAATACAGCTCCAGTATCAGTCACTGTTATGCTCAATGGCTAATATTTTAAAAGCATAGTTGTTACCATGCAGAATTTCCAACATTGAAAAGGATGAACAGAATACAGAAATTTTCCTTGAAACCAATGCTTTTGACATTTGTGGGTTGGTAATTTCTCATCTTCATTTTTTTTTTATTATATTTTTAAGCATGGTCACATTTCAGTTTCTCCTTTTCAAGTCCAATTCCAACAAAGCACTTAAGCACACAATTTCAGTTGGAGAGCAATCCCATCTAATGCCATTGGGAATTATTCACTTATTTAAAAACAGTTGAAAGAGCTTTGCTGGACAGAGATCTTATATTTCAGTCTCAATTTCCAGTGCTTCGGAAGCAGATTCTTTATATACAGTTTTGATTTTCTGATTTTGTTTTTCTTTGCAGGTAACCCGATAGCTAAAGACAAATCAAGTCAGTCTCAAGGCTGATAACATTAAATACAACACATAGGAATTTCATTCCTCCAGGCAATCCTTGAAGTGAAATTTTATGCTGCTGGGGTGTATCCTTCAGAATCAATTGTTTCAATGAGAACCTGGCTTGTAATCAGCAACAGCCTTGAGATCAAAACTACTGGAAAGTTGTTTTGAACTTCTGTGTCACAAAGATTTCAACTGATTGAACTGTGTACACTTGTAAAATTGCACTTGCTGAGGAATTTGCAGCTGTAATCACAAGAGTTGATATTCAAAAGGTGCAGAAAAGCAGCAACCTTTCGTATTCTCCATTCCAGACCAGTGGCTTTTCATCTTGATGAAGTCAACCTCCAAAACGTATTGGTTTCTTCTCTTTAAAAAGATCTCTGGTCCACCATTTGGATTGCTGGTGGGACTGCACACTGCTTTAATTAAATTTCTGTTGCAGAAATTGTCCTCTGGCATGGCGCAGTTTTAGACATTTTTATTTGTATTCTAATCTTGGAGCTCTCAAAGGTACATATTTCAACATCTTGAAGTTGCTTTTCTTATAGGAATGGAAATATATATCCATTGTTAATAATTATTGTTGACAAGTAATAGTTATCTGAATACATCAGTCATATTAGAATGTATAGTCAGGTTGACATGTTTCCCTAAGGCTAACCAACTTCTGCAGCTCTTTGGCAGTTAAAAAAGTTGTAGTCAAAACTCAATTACCACATCCATTATAAGGCATTTTATACCTTTAAGATATACATTTCCATTTAGTTTGAAGGAGATTGGTACTCCTGATAAGTACTTTACTTTCTCAACGTTTAATTAATTGAAATTCATGGTAAGCAGTCAATGACAGTATTTCATCCCCTTTTATAAAGGTAGGCAGGGGTGTAAATGAGTTTTGAAATTATGAAATTGGATGGTAATCATGCAGAATTTTTGTCTTTTTATTGAAAAATAAAATCTCTTGCTTGAACCTAAGTACTGTTGGATGCTTATGTAGATGTCTGCTCAGTCTGTTTGCTATAAAGGAAAAAAGTCCTAGTGCCCTCCCAGATTTACAGTTTGTGGGTATTTTGCTTGCTTCCAGTCGTCCAATTCAGATCTGATCTTTGCCAAAATCACATTTACTCTTTTATTTTTTTTGTTTCAGTAGCAATTTTTGAACTTTGTGATGTACTGTTACATGAAAAAATCCTCAATATTTAAAGGCCTTAAGCATCTATGAGCTTTTTTCTAAGTTATTACAGAATGTATAATTTTATACTCCATTTACTGTATATTGTACCATCTGTAATATTGATACAACAGAAATTTGGCAATTCCTTTTAGTGACACTGCATAAGCACGCTGACTGGAGAGGATGAGGGAGTTCTGACTGTGTGCTTTGGTGCATTGAAATGAAAACCACACACACTTAATGGTAGACAAATATGTATGGGGCAAGCTTATTTAAAAATCCTGTGTGGTTACCAGACTCCCAGAAAAAAAAGGGAAATTATTTTATCATTACAGTCCATTGACATGGCTAGGTAGTTATATATTAAGTTCCATGATGGATGAACACCCTGGAGTGCTCTGCCTGTCACAGTAGCCCCTGCTGTTCCAAAACCATTTCATTACCTCTGCTGTATTATTGCACAGGAGAGCTTAAATAAAATAAATGACTATTGGGAATAAAATTGAGAAGTATATTCTATCATTCTGCTGAGAAATAATAAAAAATGTTGTCAGGGAAAGATATTATTTGCTGATTAAAATTTAATTAGGATAAACTGTAGCAGCAAGTAGGTATCTCAGTATTTTAGGATGGATTAATATTGTATGGATTTGTGCTAACAGGTGCAGGACAGAAGGTAGCATCTTAAAGAGATTGTCTGGGGCAGTGCAAAGTGTAAATGTGCTGTTTTGTAAAATCTGAATATGGCCTCTCTTTGGTCAAAAATCTATATCATGCTTCCCAATATTTGTTTTCTTTGTTTCTTTGTTATTAAACCAACACTGAAAATACTGTATTATATACAAGTGTAACACATGCATATCAATAAGTGAAAATAAATGGATTTTGAAATATACTGAATAGATTACCTGCGGTAGATTAATGTTGTGAATATTCATAGCAAGTGAATAAAATTGTAATATAAAATAGAGTTCCCTGAATGGATGTGTGCTTTGGAGATCTATTCTGTTTACTCATTGAACAAAATAATTATTTTTTTTTTGTGAATAAGGATCTCAAGACTCATATTAATTTTGTATTTCTTCCGTACGGCTGGAAGTATCTCCTACCACTTTGAAAGGTCCTTTTCTGAAGGAAACTGATACCTAGCACAACTGTTCTAGCATTGTCATGGGAAATTCTGGTGGGCATACTGTTGTTTTCAGGCCAGATCGAATAATTTTTTTTTCTTCATAAAATGAGAATCCTGAAAAATTCTTATTTAGACCTTTTCATTAGCAACAGAACATGGTAGACATTCCTGAAGAGGTAATATTTCAGAGTAATTTGTTAAACTGTTTAAAAGAAAAAAAACAACTGCTAGTTCAACAGTGAACTCTGCTTGTGCATCTTGAAGCAAGCAAGGAATGATAGTTCAGCTGTCCATAGTGCCGGTTTTATTGCTACTTTTGAAAAAGGACTACAGGTGACTAGATCAGCTATAGGCATTCAAGTTGTAGGCATGTTAAGATGAATCTTGCTTCAATTACTCTCTTATTCCTTATATGCTATCTCCCAGATTATTTTATATACCCAGCTTCATCCAATTACAAAGATGATCAGGCATTATGATCAGAGGGAAATCCATGTTACCCCTGGATTTCAGTAATCATCAAGAACTCTGAACTGCAGGAGAATGTGGGTTCCTATTCTGCAGTCCCATGTGGCAGTGCACCAAGGAAAGAAAACTCACTGTTTTGTTCAAATCTTTCAAAATGAAATGCATTGGATCAGTTCAACAAAACAAAAAGGAAATCCATCTGATTTCCAAATCAGATCAAATAAATCTAAAATAGAGCTTTAAAAACATTCAAGACTATATCTTGATTGTATCTGGCTTATTGGTTATAAGTAAGTGCTAACCTTTGAAAAAGCACTGCTATAGAGAGAAATTTTACTACCTTTAAATCTATCTATTATCCTACATCTTGCAACTCTTATCTATCCTATGTCTTTTAAATGTTGGCTTCAGCAATTCTCCTCAAGAGTGTTACTGGTATAGGGTTTCAGCACTTCACCAAGCCAATGCAATTCTGTTTTGTGCAGAATCTATATGCTTTAAAACTGGAGACAGAGTGCATCAGATAGATTTGTTTTGAAACTAAAAATCTACTATAAAGCATGTTATTTTGTTAGGTTTCATAAAAACATATGCAGGGGTTTTTTTGCTCATTGTGACTGTACATCTGGCTTTCACAGTTTCCAAGTAATGCATGGATGTCTATAACAAGAAAACAGAAGGATGTGATTGGCATTCTTTTCTGTTGATTTACTGCTTTCTCCTTCATGCCTTGAATTTTATACATCTGTTGCTAACCAATATATTGGCAAGCAAAAGGGGCACAGTTTTGGTTTGTAACAGAAGTGTTGCGTTAATTTTGTTTCTTTTTGCCAGTAGTTAGGTAGCTCTGTATCAAACATGTCACACCTAACAATCTGATGATATTAAATGATTTCTCATGGTTTCAGTGGTACTAAAATGAATAATGAGAATTATCTAATCACTTCGTTCTTCGTTATAACACAGTTTGTATCCTGAGAAACTTTTCTGTTTATTCTTTTGTAGAATGAGGAAACATTTCCAAATTACATCTGTGATCTTGTTTCTGTAAGAGGTTGTGTAACTTTCTGATAGCACTTTACAGTCAGTCATTGCAAATATTTCAGAAAAAACGTCTTCCATGGCTGTTTGTTTTGCATCTACTGTGTTCGTCTGCACTGCTTATGCATGTATTACAAGAGGTAGTATATGAAAAGGCTGAATTTCCCACAACTTTGTTTTGATAGGTGATGACAAGTTTTGCCAACATCTCTTAATCCAAAACTAGCTTAAGACCATCTGGCAGGAGGACCACTGATGGTGACAGCTGGAAACTATTGTAGAAGGGAATGACTGTTCTTTCTCAGACTGCTGTTAGTGGGATACCAGGCTAGAGATGTAAGTTCTGGGGATGTGGATCCTGCATGGGAGCACTGGGGTACATTTGGCATCCCAAAGCTGGGGCCAAATGTTGATGTTTGTGGTTGGACGTGAGACTCCAAGGACTTTTCAGTGTGCCGGAGCGCAGAAGCACGGCGGGATAAGGGGGGAGCATAGTTGGGACAAGGGGGACACGATTCCCCTTGTGATTTGTGGTGGAACTTAAGATTGAGGGCCAAACTGGCCAATTAGTATTCCATATCATGCAGCGTCATGCCCAGTATAAAAGTGAGGGTCAGCCGGACAGAAGGGCTTTTTGCGCTTTGGCTCTTTCGCCGCTTCTGCTCTTTTGCGCTAGCTGCACTTTTGCTCTGTTGCCTTTTTTTTCCTCTCTCTTCCAGTACTCCCACTCTCGGAGTACTGTCTCTCTCTCTGCCCCTCTCTTGGGGCCTCGCGTTCGTCTGGGATTGCAGCTTCAGGACGAGACAGGCTGCGGATAAGAGGGGATGGTGAGCACCTACACTGTGTAGTACTTACCTGTATTAAATTGTTCTTATCTCAACCCACGGGTTTCCCATTTCTCCTTTAATTCTCTCCCTCATTCCTGGGATGGGGGAGGGTGAGTGAGCAGCTGTTGGGGGGGGTTCGGTTGCTGGAGCGGCCTAACTCAAAACAAACATTTTGCTCAGAAAATTCTAAATTGACAAGCTCATTAAAGTTCACATGCCTGTCCCTATTCAATCCCTCCTTGCTACTATGCAGGTAATTCTGTGTGGTAATGGGAAGTGAAATCCAGTTATTCCTTGATCATATATTTTCTTGATTAAATATCACTAATCATATCAATATTAGCCATGACTGAAAGACTTGAAATATATGTGGTTTTCAGTTCTGAAAACCAGTTTATTGCCCAACTAAGTTCAAGAAAGAGTTTATATAATAGAAATGCTATTGCTCATATGTAATCCTAACTGTAAAATTTCTATATTAGCTCTTTAAATTATGTTTACCTTCATAACTGTAAAATTCTGTTTAGATACTTTATAACAACAGGGCCATTCTTTTTTTCCCTATAACATTGAGGTAACCTAAAGACCCTGTAATTTGGGATTTATGGCTTTGCTTTCACTGCTTCAACTGTACAGCTGGGAAAACAACATGTAAAAATACTTATGTTACTCACATTGCTGAGACATTTTTCTTGAATG